CAGTGGTGTAGTTTCAAACCCTTCTTCTCAAATCTTTTCGTTTTTCTTTTGGCTGAGCAAAAATGCAATTGACAGGCTCAGCAGGCATCTGAGCAAGCTAGGAGTGGTAGATTGTTTCTAATATGGAATACAAGAGATTTCTTGGTTCAGTAATTTTTTTTTTGAAAAGCCATAAAGTTATAATGAAAAAGAAGCATTCTCCTTCGTGTATAATTTCCTTGTTAGTGCTCAACCTTGTATAATGTTGAAGAGGCGTTGGTTTCTCAATTCAAGATACAAAGGTTTAACTCTTCAGTGCCAGAGTATGGCAGTGCAGAAGCTATTACAAGTCAGTACCAGAAGGGACTGTTCTTCCTTCTGTCTCTAGCAGAGATGAAAGGAACCCTGAACGCACACAAGTAGGATTCTGTACTTGTAACCATGCTTGTCTTCCTGCTTCTGTTCACGATAGATTTATCTGTTGCAGGTACGATGGATGAGGTGTTGGCTTCTCTAAAACGTGGTGAAGTTCATCTCCGCAAAGTGGAACAGCCAAACCCGTATGCCTCTGTGAAAGATAACATTCTCTCTGCCATAAGGCAAGGAGTTAAACTAAGAAAAGTGAATAGAGATACTGAGAAAGATGTCAGTAAAGACTCTACTAATGAGCTAGAAAGAAGCATTAAAGCAGTCATCCAGAGAATTAAGAAAGTGTCTGCTGATTCTGAAGAAGAGGAAAATAATGATCAGAATAATGGAGAATGGGACAACTAACCAATTTAGACTAACAGACTACTGACTGGAACAGTATTGGTCGTGTTTTTGTGCATTATAGAAGAGTGCCTTTCAAAATGAAAGAACAGTGAGATTGTGTTTGTGCATGTGTTCTTAAAATGCACAAATGTTTGTAGAGTTAAAGGGTCCTGTTTGATTTTCTACAGGAGCTACAGATTCTTATTTTTGCATGTAATGTCATACTCCAACATCCACTTGCATGAACAGCTATTTCTGGCTCAACGCTATATAGCTTTCACCACATCTGCAGACAGCTAAAATACTGGATATACTGGATGGAAACACACATTATATTTAGGTTGTTACTCCACAGCCCTGCTATCGCAAAAATGAAGTGAAAAATGGAGTGAAAAATGAAATCAAAGTGTATTTCGTTACAGGGTGACAAAGGCAGTCTAGCAAACTAGGCATAATTTGGTACTTCTGACCATTACATTTACACTGACCATTAATAAAAGCAGATCCAAACAGCTGAAGTGGATTCTGGGTGCTCTCATTTTAGGATTCTGCTTTGCTATAAGCTTTACTTACAGTCCTCTGTGACAACCATGCAGCAATTCACAATAAGGATATATGTAAATCCATAATTTTTTTTCAAATATTTGTGAAATATGTAGATCAATAACAAATTTGCAAATACTTTGTTTTACTGCAGAAAAAGTAGATCTATTTAATCCATAAATGCACAAGAGCTGATGGATGGAACAACTCAAGAATCAGGACTAGGGGCCTGCTCTGGGGTGAGCAGCTCTGTAGGGTGCTGGATTGGTGCTGAGCTCTGAAGTTCTTTGCATTGCCATTCAAGCACCCCTTTCTTGGGCCAGTGAAGGAATAGCCTGCAGAATTTGTTGAACATAAATGCAGCTCTCTGGCTTTAAAGGGTTCATAGCACTAGGAGGTTGCTGTATAGCCCAGTGATGAGGGCTCAGTTCCTGCTAACCCCTATTGCTGTGCCTTATGAGCTTTTAACGAGATGTAGGCAGGCCAGGCAGCTGCTGGCAGTATTTTTAGGAAGACTTAACATAAATGTGTTCGAAGACTGCTTGGGCTGACAGGGAGAGCTGTGCTCTGACAGCCCACCCTTTGATCGCAGCAGGATTGCAGCACCCAGCACACGCAAGCCTGCAGCATTGGCTGGGGATGGCAGCACAGAGATGGATTTGTCAGCAGTTCTGTCACTGCACTGCTTCTCAGGATGGATGAGGCTTCTCTGTCATCAAGCCACGGCACACACATGGCTGATTCACAGCTGAGGCTGTATCCTGTGTGCCCCTGCAGCCCTGCCTGGCCTGAGGGCATGAGCAATGCCTGCCAGCAGGCCGCAGTGTCACTTCTCCCTCCCATAAATGAACAGTTCAAGGCTTCATCCCCTGATGGATGGCCCTGATATGGCATGGATGTTGAACTCTGTTTCATTTCTCATCATTGCAAACAGAACAAGAGTGCTCCCCAGCCCCACCATGACTGCATGCTGCAGATCCATGCTTTCCTTGACCGCTTTGTTAAAGCAAAGAAAGAAAAAAGCAACACCGAGTTACAGTTTCTACCAATAATCAAGACCTAACCTGGTCTTTATAGGGCTCATACAGGGCTCCTCTGCTTTGCTCTCATGAGATGCGGGTGCCCCATCACTGGAGGTGTTCAAGGCCAGACTGGATGGGCAGTCTGAGGGCAGCCAGACCACAGCAGGGCTTGGGTGAGCATTAAGGCCCCCACCAACCCAAGCCATTCTGTGATTCTGTGGCTATGACTCACTCACTGTCTGCTGCCCTGCCAGCCCCACCTGGGTGAAGATTGTAATCCCATCCCTGGGAACACGATTGGCCTCCCACTGGCCCTGTGCCCCAGAACCCCCTTGGCCCACTTCCACTCCTTCCTTTTATACCTTAAAATAGGAAGATGCAAGTCTATGCCAGGACACGTGGAGCAAGAGGAACAAAGCTGATGTGTGTGAAGGCATTCATTACGACTAATAAAAAGATGCAAAATGCTGCTTCTTTCAGTGCTTTTCAGAGAAGAGGTGGGTAGATAAATGTGCACTCTTTCTGAGGAAAATGAGACTTGAGGTTACGCATACTTCCAGTTGAAAAGCATCTTTAATTCCAAAACTTCCTGTTTTCATCAGAGAGAGCAGCTGTGCACTGTGTGTCATAGTAACATGATATTGTAGGAAAGAAGGACGCATCATTTCAATTAAATCCACAGTGATGATAAAAGGTGAATGGCAGTGAAGGTATCTTTTAAGAAATGCTGCCGCAGGGCCTGGCACTGGAAGCAGCTCCCAACAGTCCATAAGCAAATCCCTGGGGACAGCACACACTGGAAACTGCTCCAGAACATAGTGGGTTTTTCTTTTTTTTTTCTCCCTAGTAGAAAAGCATGCAATTTTCATTCTCAGCATGTCACAGTAAGCTGAAAGCAAGAAGCAGCAGAATTAAATCTGCTCAGGTAGCAGTGACATTAACAGCTCAGCTACTTGTGAAAACGCTGCATAAAACAAGCTGTCTATAGCAAGCCATTGCTCCAGGAGCAAGAAGGAGCTGCTAACTGCACTAAAAACATATTAACCAAAATCTACTCTTGCTCATTTTCACAAGAAGCCCCCTTCTGCCCCAGCTCCTAGCCCTTCTTGGGCTCCCTCAGGTCTCAAATCCTCCAGGTCTGTCTGCTGGACTCTGTCCAGTTTTCTGCCCTTGACCAATGGCAATGGCACCTCCACAGGATCAGAACTTGTTCAGCAGGGAGAAGAGGACACAGCCGGGAGCAGAGGAGAGGGTAGGTGGCTGCAAGTGGGCGAGTGGGAGGGAGGAGGAATTCATAGCCAAATACCGAGCTGCCAATGGCCAGAAGATGAAGAGTCTGGGGAAATGCTATGACATGGGCTTCACTTCTGTGGCAAACAGCTCACCAGACTGAAACCAGGGGAACTACAATGGGTAGCACAGACCTCTCCTATACCCTCGCTGCTGGCAGGCTGCATCTGGGGAAAGGTGCACAGCATCCTACTGGGATATTGGTCCTATGCGAGTTCATTGCACTTAGTCACTCTTAGTGCCATAAAATCTTCTGCAATACCCTTCTATTCCAAGGCAACAGTCCTTTGTCTTGCTCCGAACACCATCCTATAGATGGAAGCATGGGGTAGCCTGAAGCCAGCAGCCATTCCCACTCTCCTCCCAGCACCCAGCCACTGCCCACAGAGATGGGTTTGAATCCTGGTGCCAGCAGCAGGGTCCTGGCTCCACAGGAGTGGGCAGCACAGGCACTGGGGTGACAACACGGATCTGTGCTGCACTTAAAAAGACGCCAAAGTTGATACTCATCAGCAAGTGAGTCACTGCCCGTCCCACAGTCTCTTCCTGCTCAGCAGTGGTGATGGCAAAAAGGGATCCTGCACCCACACGTCCACTGTGCTACGTGGAGCCTGCTGCCATCCCTTCTCCAGAGCCAGTCAGCTACTTCAGAACAAGGGCATACGGGCACTGAGCGTACAGAGAGGCAAAGGAGAGGCGTGTTCTGCCTCAATTCATGCCTCCCCTGCCCACCTTGCCTGTGAAGGAGCTCTTCCTGTGTGGGGCATTTGGGACAGCATCCCACAGTCCCTAGTAAACACAGCAGCACTCCAACACCTCCATAATGCTTGCCCTTGCATGCATTTATCACACGCAGAAATGAGGACTTGTACATCAGTAATAGCCTATCAGTGCCTTGAGGTTTCTTTCTGAAAGAGGAGCTACACAGCTGACTGTATCCCTGAATGACCAATGACAAATCCATAGCAGCAGCTCTCTCTGCTGCAGAAAAACGCTGCCTGGGTCTGCCCAAGAACCTTAACACATCAGAGAGCTGGCCCCCAAACACCAGCTACCCTAGGTGGGATACAAAGCAGAAAGCTAAGGCTGTGCATCCTTAGGGACACAGGACCCTGTTTCCAAACCAATAAAGCATACAAACTCTCAGTTTAATAAAGGAGAGCTGGGCTGCTGTGCAATGCGTCACTACTTCTTCTGCTTCCTGCTTTTTAAGCAGCATGTGTGTGTCTCTCAGTGCTGTCCTAAAGCTGTTTCCCACCCACAGCAATGACTGTGCTGATGGCCAGGGGACCTCTGCAGTGAGAGGAGAGAGTGAATCACTGCACTTTCCCAGCTTTCAGAGCCAGGGATTATCTCTACAAATGCACCCATCATAGCTTTATGCAAGTAAAATTTGAATGACATGAATAATTACCTGGGTCCTTTCTTCAAGAGTCTCCAGGATCCCATTTGGCATCACTCATCTCTAGGTTAATGAACGGTGGAAACTTGCATCTCCTGTAAATGGAAAGCCCTGGCTAATGGCAGCAGTGAAACAAATGACAAAAGCCTGAAAGTGGATAGCTTTGAAAACTGATACCATTCAGTATGATACCGTAATGCAAAAAGGTTGCCCGTCCTGGTGTTATTTATAATTCCCTGTATGCCTGGATTCCCTCCAGCCAGCATACATTACACTCAATCCAGGGCATATGCAACAAATCATACCCAATTATGGAAACTCAGGAGACAAGCTCTCTCTTGATTACTGCCACAGATTTCTTTTCCGTAGATCACCAGTCCTAACAAGGCAAACAGACAATACAGGAAAAGAAAAAAAAAGCTCCAATCAATGCCCATCATGTACCAAATGGATGTATCTGCTCATAGATCTGAATGCAAACCACCAACAAGAATCATTCCTTGGGTATTCACGCCCTCAGGCAGCCCGTGGCACCCGGCCTGGCTGGGATATCAACAGGGTGCTCAGCACACTGCCTCCTACTGCATCTCTGAAAATCCAGCCCTGCCATCAGTTACATGAGGCACGGTGAGTCCATCTCACACAGCACACTGCTGCTGTATGGGACTCCGACTGCTCGGATGGTGTTTTTTTCTCCAAGTCAGGGCTTAAACTTTTCCTGGATTGCTGATACAAGGAGAATACCAAAAGGAGCACATATTACAAAGTCATTCATCTGTTCACGTGTCAAATATTACACTGAAATTCCATCTCACCTTCACTTGTATTTTCGCCAGAAATCCCAAGGCAGCATATCACAGCTCGCTATCACACAGCCTGGCAAAAAGCTGTTTAATGAATAATTTGAGAAATACAAACCTTGTTTTGGAGGCTCTCCAAGCTTCCTGATAGGAATCCAGTCAAAAGTGACAATGAAGGCATTATCGGCATGCGGCAGCTGATTTCCCTGACACCTCAGCTCACTGACCTGGCTGCGTCTGCTGGGAATGTTCGTCACCAGGGTGCCAGGCAGCCAGCAAGGAGCAGTGCTTCCCACAACTGCTACAGTGCACATGAGTCGCTTTCACATCTCCTGGTTACTCAGGGGCTGCCCCAGATTACTGAGCTATTTGGCAGAGCTATGGATGGCTCCTGATCGAAGAGCTCTGGAGAAAGGTCAGGAGAGGCTGTGCTTCCCGCTCACCCCAGTGCTGACATTTGCAGCCGTGTAACCCAGAGTAACAAAGGCACAACAAGCCTCATCCATTTAGCAATCTTCAAACCTTATAAATCCCTTGGGGGAGGCCTGGGTTAATGCCAAGACAGCAAACACTGTTTCTGTGTGATGAACACAAGGATGCTGAAAGCATCTTTATGTGCAATCTGTAGCAGCAGCACAGTGCTATCCCCACTCAGGGATGGGCTGTGGGACACAGCTGTTTCACCTTGGAAAACTGCCTCTGCTGGGAGAGTGCTGCTAACCTCAGGATCTTAATGGAGAACAACAGAGGCTTACTCCTGGGTCCCATTTATCCCTCCAAAAACATCCGTCAAAAGAAAAGAGCAGTTCCGGCTGCCACCAAGGCTGCTCCACCAGGTACAAGACTCCATGAGGTTTTTGGTCCTGAGCATCCCCCAGCAGAACGACACAGAGCCTCCTTCCAGTGAGAGGTCTTACCCAGAGTGCACTAAGTCCCAAATTTCATACCACAATATATCTAGAAATGACTTCTCTAGTACAGCACTTATCTCTCTGCACAGCCCTGCACCCCCCTCTAGCTGTTCTAACAGTAGAGCAGAACAAAGGTTTCTAAGCTCTACCTCATGGAAATAAGGTTTTTAGAGTATGTATCTAATGCACTACAGCATACAGATAGATCTAAATCACATTTCTTACTGTGACAGCATTACCTCGAGTCCAGCTTTGCAACCACGTGATACACTGCAGGGAAACACTATCCATTTGCTGAAGTCAATGAAGACAGTGAGACAAGAGATTTTACTTAAACTATATATTTTTACGTAAAACAACTTTATGTTACAATAAAATCAGATAAAAATCACAAAGTTTTATAAGTTCATAAAGCAAAAAATCAATTTTTTCTTTTATATATATATATATATATATATATATAAAACCCAGCATTTACTGCTACTAGGAGTCTAAATGTTAACATTGACTATGGCCAATTTGAAAAAAAAAAAAAAAAAAAGAAAATATATTTTCACAGCAGACAAAACGACGAGGTAAGAGATGTTATTACAATGATCCAACTGTAGTAAACACTCCAGTTTCTATTAACTCATATACTAAATATAACAAAACCAAATAAAAATATACATTTAGAGCACTGCAGTGTTTTCCCACAGTTGTGTATCAACAAATTCTCATTCACTAAACTTCACTTGAAACAGTTAAAACAGGGAGCATGGATATCTTCAGTACTAAAGTCTCATAATAATCTAAATATTTTGGTATCGCAGATCACACTAAGAACTTTCAATGACAAAGGGATATATTTCTGTTAAAAACAATGTGCTTTGTTCACCATTCATGATGAGTTTTACAGAATATTATGCTCGTGATCACTATCAGGCCAGGGAAGGAAAACAACAAAATGCTGCAAAACACTCCTACTGAGCACAGCTCCCTTTCACATGCCCAGGTTGGGCAGCACACTGCAAATGGAGAAGCTTAGCTCACAAATCCTGCTTTATTGGTCTTTTTTTAGCTAGTATATGGCTAAAATAATTATTGCTGACCAGTGTTAAAAACAAACAAACAAACACGTAAACCCCCAAATACCACACAAAAAATACACTAGTGGATTGATTTTTCTCATGTGCCTTTCTTGTCTGTGCCAATATTAGGTAACTGAATGACCAGAAAGGAAAGAGCTATCTATTTCAAAATACACGTAGAAAAAAAGAAACCTGGAGGCATAGGCACCTTCATTTGAAGATGGTGTATTTAGACTGTCATAAAATAAAAAGAGAAGCGCTAACAGAGCACAGCACAAAGTCAGACTGCGAGAGGCCCCACTCTGCCTTCTGCCTGCAGAACCCAATGGGAAGTATGGCTGTCACTCTGTTGGCAGTCTCCTGAATGTGGGTTTCACTTCAGCTATGTTGGTTAACACAGAGACCAGTACTTCAGACATGCAAACTTCATGTAACGGTCAATTTATCTCCTAGAGGTCAGCATGAACACCGCCGAGCTCTCAGGCCTGCACGTGCCCATGGGACCTCAGCTTGCAGCTGCTTCTGGGTTAAGCGCCTTGTGCCTACGTACTGCTGTGCTTAACACAAAGGTGAGTGAACTCAGGGGGTCAGACATAACCCCAGGGCAGCTCTATGCCTTGCAGCCACCCAACTGTGCCAAAGAGCCTCATCACTCCCCCGTGTTCTGACACAAGCTGCCTGGCTCTTGGGCCACTCAGCTGTGCATGGATATTCACTTCTTGCCCCTCCCTCCATCTTTGATATGCTGAAGACTTTTGGATACCAACAGATTTCAGGAGCCAAGAACTGCTCATTCTAAGGCCATCTCAGACCTCTGGTGCTCCATCAGCGCAGGGCTGAGCATAGGGCACATCCTGCACTGAAGCTTCCGCCACAACAATCACCAAAATCAGACGCACCTCCCTAAATCCTGTTTAAACCTCTTCCCTTTGGAATCAGCATCTAGAATACACTGAGACATGCAGCCCTTCACTCTGACAGCAGTGTTATTTTCTTAATCCAGAGGCTCAGGAAGACAACGCTGTACTTGCGAGAAGCCACCAAAGCTTTAATGTGTTTAGTTTGTAAAGCCTAACAAGACACGTTGGACTGCAGCAGTGTGGGGACCATCCTCTGGGGGCTGGGATGCAGCCAAAGATGACCAGAAATGAACAAGACAGCCATGGGGAGAAAGTGAACCTCAGGGAAAAAAAATGAAATGGGGCAATAGAGAAGTGCCACAGCACCGAGACATTTGTGCCTGGCTGGGACGGGGACACAGTGCTCTAAAAGTAATGACAGGATGTCATGGATGGCAGAAGCCCTCCCACTTCACTCAGTTCATTGATCTGCCTTAAAAAAAAAAATTAAAAAAAATGCCTACATCCCTCACATAAAGGTAAAATCAGATGTTTTTCTGTAAAAAAAAATATAAATTAATATAAAAAAGGCATTGCCTGAGTAGCATAGCCCAGGCACCCCGAGTGTAAAGCCATTTTTAAAGAAGAGTATTTTGAATGCTGGGTATAGAAAGTGAGAGGTGGCACTGAACTCCTTGCAAAAGTAAGTTCCTCTTGCACTTTGCTCACTTCATAAAGGAAATGCCTATTAGACATGGACAAAGGAACACTGGCAAATGCTAATTTTGTTGAAAATACACTTTCTGGGAAAATGCCACTACTTGTGAATTTGAGACAAAAATCAGCAAATAAGGCTTCAGCCAAATAGGAAAAAAAGGAAAAGGTTAAACTGTGTTATTTTGCTTTGTGAAACTTTTTGGTTGTGAAAAAAGTTTCTCATTTTGAACTCATTCTAACGATTAGGCTAAGGTCATCTTCCAATATGCTAACTAACATGCCAGAGAAACATTCCATTCCCCTTGACAACAATTATCTCAAGTCATTTTTCTGCCTCTGACCACTTCTACTGGATCTGTTCAGCTTACTTTGGCCACTGCACCAAGAGAAAAACCAAGACTACCAGCAGCTCTAACACCGTGTCAGAAGAGTATCTCTCTGGAGCGCATGGAAGACAGACAGACGCTCTCCCTAAAGAATGTCAGGGCAGATTTCTGTTCCCAGAGCCCCAGCTTTCCAGGTGCCACCGGGGCAGGGCATGGCTGAGGGGCAGCAGCGGCGCTTGGAGCCGGGCAGAAGGCCTTTGCAAACATGCAGCCACACAGCTGAGGTAGCATCCTGCCATGCACCACTCTGAGGGAGAAACCTGTGTGTGGAGAGTGAGACCATGGGTGCTCAAGGCGAGATACAGCCTCATGTACAATGGATATAGAGCTGACATTCCTCATCACCAGCCATACGGGTCTACATGGCTCTGAGCTGTAATAATGAATAAAATCAAGCTTTGGGATCTGCGACAGATCTGACTAAAGCTGGAAAAAGCCTGGATTAATCTCAATAGTATCATTTATTTGCAGTCTTTTGTACTCCTTTGACCGTATTTTATATTAAAACCAGAGCAAGAAGCCCTAAGATCACATAACAGACAAAAGGAAGCAGGAGATGGAGCAGGGTCCTTAGTGCAGAATGATGAGCACTGCAACCAGGAGCCCTGACTGCCTGTATTGCTCCCCCACACATGGAGCTCTGCAGCAGTATGGGGGGAAGAGGAGAAGCAGGACAAGCTGCCTGTTTCATGATCATGGACTTGCTATCAAATAGAAAGACTAAAAATGGAGATTGCTTGCTCACCACCACACACAGTTTCTGACGTCATTCTCAATTTTGAGAAGTCTGTCCTAACCCCACATTATGCAACTGTTGAATATTCTAGGCTGGCAAAGTTTAATTTTCACACGCCTACATGCTATGTACCTGATTTTTATTTTTATTTTTAAATTTCAACAGCCTACAGCATTTATTTTTTTTTTAAGACTTAAATGGTCATAGTAACTATAAAAGGTCCCAGCTTCACGTGTCATTTAAAAGGATTAAAAGAGTACAAAACGTCCAGTCTGAACAATAGGCAATAATGGTAACACAATGGATGAAATGAAAACTCCTAGGACAATGGCAGACAAAACCCATCTCCAGCATGTGGATTATAGAGCCATGTGCAAAAATAATTCAACACGTGTTTCATCTCTAACCCACATCTTCTAAAGGTCACTTTTATAATAGAAACACGCCAAGAAAGAAAAAGTCCCTAAGAAATAATATGCAAACATTATAGTGTGGCTACTGAATCAGTCACTTCTGGAATGCACTCACCTGGTGCTTCACCAAACTTCCACCCAATAGAAGCAAATATCCATAATCACAAGTTCTTTCCTGAATGAATTCAGATGCAGTGTAAACAGAATCTCAAACCAGGATACGGAGAAAGAAATTGAAGAAGCTGACGGCATTCCTAGGGATAAAAGCAAAGTGTGGGCTCCTCTCTGGTCCTTCTCACATCAGTCGGTGACACAGCGATGTCCTCGCTGCCATCCGGTGCGAGTCTCCATTTCTCAAAACATATTTAGAGCTGCTGAATAAACAAAGACTACATTTTCTGCCTTAGAGATTGGGTTGGGGCTTTTCTTTTTTTGTCAGTCTAACTTGGTGACTAACTCCCACCCGCCTGTCCCCTGAGGGAGGAACACAGGAATCATAGGAAAGAAAGGGGTTTTGGTTTCATGCAGTCATTACCTGCAAATCTTCTAGGCAGGAAGCTGCTTCCTATGACCTCCTGAATGCTTTTCTGATCACGCCCCCTGTGCCCCCGCTGTGGCAGCCGAGCAGCAGTGATAGAGGTGCACAGAAATGCACGTGCACTGCGTACAAAGCAGCAGTATGTCCCCTCCTAAAATTAATATCTGGTCCCAAGACTCAGTGTGCACTTTTCAGAGGCACACGCAGTGACTGAACAGTAAGGGTTCCAAACTGAGATGATGGTTCAAAGAGAGATGCCATGCCAAGCAAGAGGAGCTGTCCTCACCTATAGGTAATGAGTGACTTGAAGTGTAAGAGCTGAAATTCATTTCTACTCTGTTGTCTTGGCGCTGCCTTGGACCCAAGCAAGCACATGCAGCCTGAATTGAAGGTTATATGAAATCCTCTAGATTTTACTCTCTGAATCAGGCCTGATCGATGTGGTCCCTAAAGATACTGGCATGCACGTCAAGTGATTCACTTGACTGCAGCTCATCACAGGCACATTTTACCAGGCTGATTTACAGACTGCAGGAGCTCCATCTAATCTCTCTGCTTGGCCAAGGAATAAAAGGATACGTTGCTAGGGGTGCTGATAGTTTGGGAAAAAAAAGACTTGTTTTCTGTTTCTATGGTTGCAACAGCCCTTAAGAAAGATATAAATTTCCCTGCAACAACTAACTGCATATTCATTTTAAGGTAGATCTAGTTCCAGATTCCTGAGACAGAACCCTCTACCTGTTCCCAACCCCACAAAGCCGGAGCAGCAGCATAGAAAGTTTCTAACCTCAAAAGAATTGAGCAAGCAGCACGATTGGTTTGGAAAACAAATAAACAAAAACCCAAAATAACCCACAGCAAATTTTCAGCCTCTATGTACAAAAACAATGCAAACACGTGGAACATTCTAGTTATATTTTGTAAAACACATGGATTGGGGCCAACAAAACATCAAACATCCAGACCCTAGATTACAAAAATCTATTGCCATCTAGTTGTCAACTCCAAGTTTAGACAGTCCTTGTCGGAAATCGTGTAATTCATCTATCTTCCCATCTAGTACATCTAAAAAATTCTTTAATTCAGTTTTAAGGTTGGTCTGCCTATGTTTGCTCTCTTCAACTTCTGTCCTTAGTGTTCTGACTTTCTCTTCAAGATCTTTGTTCTTATTCTCAGCATCCTTGAAGACAAAAAAATAACAAGACAAATCATAGAGAAGAAACATGAGCAGCACTTACGAGAGCAAAGCAACAAATGGCATCAGATTGGAAAAGTTTGCTCCAACTTCAGCAAACTGATTAACACAGGCACCTCTGAAGAAACCAACACGTGTTGGACAGATTAAGAAAAGCCCACGCAGAAAAGGACACAGATTAACTGGAAAAGACACTTTGCATCAGATTTTGTCATTTGGTTGATATCTTAAAATTCAGCTGGATTTAAATCACACACCACACATACATTTCTGTCACTGCCACAGTTGCAGAATTAGATTTCGTGCCAGCAATTACATACAGAATTATCCATGGTGGTTTAATCTTGAAAGACAAGCTTTAGAAAATACTGCCCAAGGAATGTTATTGCCTTATGCAGTACTTCAGGATATATAGGTGGTGTTTTTTTTTGTTTTTTTTAAAGTTTGCCCCTGCCCCTGGGGAGCCCTCAGGCATGCTGTGGGGCAGCCAGCTAACACCTCCCATCCTGCGCTCTGCTCCTGCACAAGCTCTTCTGCTTGGTCTCCATTTCATTAACACAAGCACATGCTTACCCTCACTAAAAGCCATGGGCATCACTGAATCAAACCACGCTCAGCACCTGTCTCCCCTCGGTATACTTCTGTCTGATTTGACACCGATCGTACTATTAGAGTGTTGGTGCCATTGGCTGGACTGATTTTGTTGATGAGACTGCTTACATTTGTCCTTCTATGTATTAATTAGTGCACTTATGCACCCAAGGCACAGCCCCATGAGTCCCACAGGGTGCAAGCACCTCCAGCAGCACAGCCATGCACCCCAACTCCCACGGAACCACAAAGCACCAGCACAGCCTCCATGAGTTTTGTCCCCAGTGGCACACAGCTCTGCCCATCTGTTACTTCCCAAAAAGCCTCTGCAGTGATCAGCTACAGGTCCTGGGGTGCTCTGAGCACAGCACAGACTGTGCTGGGGCAGCCCCACAGTGGGAATATAGGATGTGAAATAGTCTGGAACCAGCAGGAGATGGATGCAAAGTGAACCAGGGTATGCTAACTTGTGCAAGGGAAGAAACAGACCTATGAATGAGTCAGTGCTACAAAAGGCATGGTGCATTTTGCAACTAGCAAGTATTTTTTGGTTTTGCAAACTGGTTTTTTTTGCCTTTAAACCCTGAATTAGACATAGAACTGCATGGGTTATAAAATAAAATAAATTCATCAATTGCTTTATAATTAAGTTCATTGCCAAACTGTACCTGTAATTGTTGAGATACAGATTCACATTCTGACATGAGCTGTGGTATAATTTCACCCTGCTTTCGGAGCTCTTCCAGTTCCTTTGAAAACACAAAAGAAAAGTCATTGCAAGCTTCAATTTAAAACAACGAAAATTTGAGAATAATTTTGCATATTTTATTATATTCTGCGTTGTATTTGGATTTAAATATCCAAAATAGCATGTCTGCATTCAAGAATATACTAGAATACATTTTTCACTGAGTTTTTGACTTTGTACTTCTATAACAGATACTGTAATCCAATCTCTAGCATGGATGTCATTAATTATATTAATGAAATCTTAACCTAAATGACATATCTACTCAAAAGATACATTCAATAAGAGAGAATCTGAAGTGCTGTAATGCTATGAGCAATTCATAGATGGTAGCAAAGAGCAAATTAGACATGAATTTACAATGATAGATGGCAGCAAAAAGGGCCAGTGGAATTATGAGCTGCATGTAGAGAGGCATCATGACAGAGCACAGTTGCAATGGGCTCCTTCCTACTGCACAGCCCTGAGCAACACCTCCCCAGGTTTGTGTTCTGTTCTACCACTGCTGTCAAAACTGAGAGGAGTAACTGAAAGGAGTTCATGAACAGAATAACGTGACTCAGTAGGAGACCATGTCTGGTGGAAATAAAGAGTGCTTAATGCATTAATACCACAAATGAACACCACCACTGAGGTCAGTAGGGAAAGGCACTAAGAAAGCCAGTGCATCTTGCAGAACGATTGACAGCACCTCTGAAAAGCACATCTGCAGGCCCAAGAGAAGCTGTGCCTTGAAGAGAGTGCAGAAATGCTGCCCACACAGGTCATGATCTCAAGAACAAATATGAGTATATTCTGTTTCTCAGCATCGGTTTACATTCATGTAAGGCAGCACACCATTTAATAGTGCAGACTTTTCTGAACTGCACTGAATAATTTGTTTAACTGATATATGAATAACTATATCCAGGCAATATTCTAGCTATTGACATGGGGGAAAGGAAGAGTAATTTTATTTTGAGATATGAGCTCTCCTGCATATGTATATGTACATACATACACAACGCTTGAGAACTGGTATATAAAAACGTAAAAACATTATACTACTTATACACTATTATGCTGTTTACTTATTATATATACTACAATACAGTATGTATGTGCATAAATACATACTATGTAGTATATGGCATCTGATGTCCAATATATGCCTATATAAATATTTCAATAGATAATTCTATCCTGACTCCCATGTCTTTAAATTTCTCTCCATTTTCTACATGAAGAGAGTATCAGCAGTTCTTCTTGGAGGGCAATGTCCACAATTGGGCTTCATGCTGGTTACTTCTGGGTGGCTTAGACCTAATCAAGGACCTACTACTGCAAGCATGCAGTTTGAAAACAAATTAACGAATTGGATGACAGGTGATATTCACAAGACAACTGAGTTTCTGGTTCATTTGGCATCATAAAAATGTGAAATCTGAGCAAAATGCTAGTAAATAAGGGTTCTTATATGTGCTATTACCACAGGAAGGCTGGGAAGAAAGCATGGCATTTTCCTTGGAAATACAGTGCTGACAACCATATTATATTTATAACAGCGCATCAAAATCCATCTCCCTAAACTATTTCCTTGTGCCATCTTAAAGCCCCTTAAGAGCACTGCTTTTAAGAGTGCCAGCTGAGATGTTGTAATGGCACATGGCAAACTTTACTGCACCTGCTGACAGCTCTTTCTTTCTCAAACAGCACAGAGCATTTGGTCACTGTAATGAAGGAAGAGACAAGGATACCATTATTTTTCCCGCTGTTCATGGGCCCCAAGCCATCAACATCATTCTCCTTAGAAAAATGACCACCCTGTATATAAAAAATGACAAAATGGCCTACTCCAAATGAATTCAAGTTTCTCACTTTTGGCCTTAGTCCTGAGATCAGAGGGAGGCTGTAAAATGGGTAAGTTGAAGCATATGAGCCATCTGGGGGAAAAAAAGAAAACAGGGCCTGCTACGCAAATGCCCAGTTGCTTTGTAAATGTCTTTTTAATGAAAAATCCTGCTGCTCCTGATGTCTGAGGAACACAGGATGCGGGCACTGACAACAAAAACTGTTTTCAGCAGACATCTGTCTGGCCTGGGGCAACTTGTTCCACCTCTCCAGCTCTTCTTGTGGGAGTAAAGCACTGCATACACAAACCATCAGAATAAAGTGTGCTGTCACAGCATATAATATGGTGAAACTGAGATCTGAGAAAATCTATCAAACTATTGCCAAAGAGTCCTGCCCAGAAAATCTAGAAACAGGCAATACCCTGAGACAACAGGCTTTCCCTGGCTGTAGATAAGCCAGACCATAAATCTATGCCCAAAGTGAGAAGCAACTCCAGCTCTGGAATGTATGAATGTACGCCCTGTCTGTATTTATGGCACTTACCAGCTCTTTGTCTTGAAGCTCTGTTTCCAGCTCCTGGAGACGTCTGCTCAGCTGTGCGTTTCTTTCCTTCTCCTTATTTATTTCATTGCACTGCTCCTCCAGTTCTTCAATCTTTAAGAGATGCCAGAAAACAGATGTAATAGTCATGTTTCAGAAAATCTGGGGCAGACCACAGCCAGTGTGAGCAGGCATTGCTCCACTGAGCAGAGGGAAGCAAAGTCAAATTTAACATGTCATGGATCTGCTTCTCAGATCACAGCACTCAAGTACTACAAAATTGTTGCTTCTCGCCTTCAAAAGAATCCACAAACACATCCACGAGGGAGCACTGGGGTTGCACTTAGCTTCTTTCACACAGTACCTCACTTAATTACTCAAGGATGCACAAAACACTGAGCTGCTACAACAAGCGGGGCTGAGGAAACAATCTGCATGTCATTTCTGTGAAACTAGTGCAAGGTTGTAATGGATAGGGTGTGTCAGTGTGGCAAGGAGAAGAAATCCATCCCACGCTCTCAGCATGGCCTCCTCTGGGGCTGCTTGTCACTGGGGCTGCCGCAGGAAGGAAGGGGCAGCCATCTCCTCACCTCAGGAGCCGCACTTCCCGCAAGCCTTCCCCACAGGTTGGGGAGAGGTTTGGGAAAATCTCACTGTGTGGAAAATGACAGCACATGGTACTGATTGCATTGCTGCTCCAGCAGGCCTGCAGGGCAGTGACACTGCAGCTATAGCAAGGAGTGTTTAAATAACTACTTCAGTTCTAGGCTGCAGCCACTGAGAAATGGTTAGGAGCCAGTTTGGTGCCATAGCAGCAGCTCCCAGCCTCGCTGCCCACCTCCAGGCCTGGCTTTATTGCTGCATGGTTCCAGCTGGGCCTTGTGCGGGTGACCACGCTATAACCATTCCTGCTCAGCCACCCTCTGGCAGTGTTGAAGTGAGCTTTGAAAGGCATGCAACAGCTGTACTCCTACTTTTATCACTCTTTTGTTTATCATCCTGGCCAGCAGCCCCTCCAACACAGCGCTGTCCAAGCCAAGAGGTCAGTGCTCCATACTATGCAGCAGTCCACATCCTCCTATGATCCCAGCTCTGTGAACTCCCCTGCTGCTGCCTCAGCCTCCAGACTTCTCTATCAATTACAACATCCGTCCCCTAGCACACACACACACAAACAAAGCAGCAGCAATGTAAGAAAAGAGCACAGCTAACCCTCAAAGCTCCTTGGGCACCATTTCAATTAATGCTCTCACTACAGACACCTTCTATCCAGAACCCATAATTGTATCTGTGTCTTAAAAACTGCCAATTTGAACTTGCTGGTTGCCTCTCCCATTGTTCACTGTTTTTGGCCACCTGCGTCAAAGCTCACAAGGTGCCCTGGCATCCCTGGTTGCTGCTGGTGCAGGGCTACCTTGCTTCTGAGCTGGTCATTCTCCTCCTTGCAGGCTGAGAACTGCTTCTTCCAGTGCTCTATGCTGGCAGCCGACTCCTGCAGCGCTGTGGTCAGGCGGGCGTTGCTCTCCCTCAGTGTCTGCAGCTCTGTCTCCCACTTCTTTACATTGGAGGAACTGGGAAGGACCAGACACCGTTAGATGGGCTGACCATTTAACCCCACATCTTGTTACTCTCTGTCTGACCGATGTACCCTGCTGTCCTGTACCTGTGCATCACTACAGCTTGTCAACACTGCTAGGACCATTCAGGATGGACAATGTAGAGGAGGGGATACTACCCACACATGGTTTGTTTCATGCTCAGCCTTCAATATGCCTTACATAATGCTGAAGAATGAAGCTACTCACTTTCCAGAGCTTTGAACTAAACAACAGAGAGAATGGAGGCTCTGAAATCTCTTCCACAGCAGCTTCTGTGCCCGTGGAGGTGTCTTCAGCAGGAGGAATGAGCAACCAGTATGATTCAGAACAGGTTATGCTACTGAAATGATGATAATGTACTTCAAGTTAAAATATGCAACCTTAAAGTTGCTCACTGTGTAATGCTGCTCCTGTCACTGCTGCCTTTATTTTAAAGAGCTTTTTTATGAGCAGTTTGATCCTGATCTATTTTCTGTCCATTCACAAACATATTCACACACAAGAGGCAGACAAAGCAAGCAGGATTCTAGAAAAGAATTGCACTATTCTAATGCCACAGCTTCGCATATTCCAAGTTCAGTACTTTCACTATGGCTGCAAATTACTCTTCTCAGCATTTCAAATAGTTTGTCGAAGCAAGCAGCAAAAAACTTGGCTTCAAGGGGCACTATTTGCAGCTTAAGAAACATCCCCCAAAGACTTCCAGAAAATCCAGTGAAATTATAGTTTTCATTTCAACCGTTTATGCTGCAGTGCATTCCCTTTAAGAATTTTAAGTGTCTCTACCTATTTGCATTGAAGTAAATGCAGCAAAAACAAAGGGGAGGAACAGATTAACTTCATATGTTACCAGTAGCAATTGCTTCTCAGTGACCTAGGTCTTATTTCTGTAGTTTTAATTCTGCAAAGGAAGGTGGTGTGGCCAGATGATCTCATCATGAACCAGATCAGGAAAAGGTAAATATCTTCCAGTCAGATACCAGGAGGTGCCTGCTAAAATCTGCTCATTCCTTCCTTCTGCTGCACCATTTTAGATTATGTTATTACATCTGAATAATTTCTGCTAATACCATTAGCCATCAGATAATTACAGCACACCATCTCCATGCAATTAAGATATTAAAGGAACCTCACCTTTGGGCTAGAGCAATTTTTAGTTTATCATTCTCAGACTTGAGCTGTGCCTCAGCAGAACCACCGTGGGATGCCTTCTCATCATCTGTCCCATTCACACTAGATGCTCGGGTGGAAGATGGTGTTTCACGCCCAGATTCCTGTGGCACAACACACAGATTAATGCAGGGTTTCTTTCTACATCCCACATCTCCTGCCAAGCAGCTTGATTGTGCCTCCCAAAAGTAACACAACTTGCATGCTGTGGCACACAAGAAGAACATAGAGGGCTTTCCTTCTTGTCAGCCAGAAAGGGGTCCTGTTCTGCTTGCACCCTTATAAGTGCAAGGAGATACAAATGCACAGGACAGATAACATGTCATGAGCTGAATACTCACACTCTGTGAAAAGCTGCTTTCTTCATAAAAGAATGCAAGAATGATGAAGACGGACAAAATGAAAATTTGAAGTGTTCACAAATAATTTTTAATTGCTTTAACAGATGAGGCTTCTGAAGGGCCTTTGATTGCTTGTGATTTTTAAGGTATCGAAACAATACAGTGCTCCTGAAAGCACAGAAAGACCAACCCAAAAATGTACAAAATTCTGCTGCTCCAAAGAGATGACCTGTACGCACTGCTTGTTGCTGACCACAAATACAGAACAAGCAGAGAATCATAAAAGCCATGACCAAAGTCTTCAAAAACCACAAATATCCAAAGTCAGCCTCTCTGAGCTGTATCTGGACCTCTCCCAGGGGGTCAGCTGCAGGCCTGAGGCTTCAGCACCTTTTCTTTAGTCATCCAGCTCTATTTCCTGAACAATATTAATATAACTTTCCTCCAAATACCAGCACAGGCCAAGCACTGCCACCAAACCAGCACTCATTCTTTGCTCACACACTACTGCCCAGTGCTCACTGGGCACAGGGGTACTAGGCTGCATGGAAGTGCGCTGCCTAAGAAGCACATTATACAAATTGCAACATGTGCTCTTCCATCCAGCCCCTCACTACAGCGATGCCTGTTTCTGCAATGCAGCTTTCAATGAATCATATCCAGGCAATGAAAGACACGGTGGCTGTGAAGCAAGCCGTTGCATTGGCAAAACGAACTCCCACAGAAGTAGATTAGACAGATAACAAAAAGGAGTATCTTAATAAATCTTACTTATTGTCTGCTACAGAATTATGCTGATATACTTGCTAGTGACCCAACCTATGTGTAGCAGTACAAATCAAAGGATGTATAGCTGTCCCAGCTATTAAAAAATTTCTAACAGCTCAGAACTGCTGAAAAAACTTACAGGTAAATGAAGGCAAAGAGCATGGATGGATGAAAAATATTCCTCTGACAGTGTTAATGCCCAGCAGCTGATAATTACCTTGGGCAATCTTCATTTGATATACTTCCCCCAGCCTGCTGCCAGAGGCTGGTAGTTCATTTGAAAATCTAGCTTTAAATTATTTATCCTGTATGCATATAGGTATTAATGTTAAATTACAAACCTGTGAATGATTACTTGAGGTCTCAATTTTCTCTTGAGATCTGTCTCTTGCTAGCTTGGCAGCCTCTTTCACTTCTTGGAATTTCTCTGCAAACTGGAAATAGCACAAAAGATGCTTATTAAAATTGTTAACTATATATAAAATTATTTGGTTTATTATCTTTGTATGTCTCATAGATCTCCAGAAGTGACCAACTAAATTTGATAATTTATTATTTTTGGCAAGAAAAAACATTTCAATTCTTTGGCAGGAAGGTGCTTCCAAAGGCATGGCAATGCTGTTCCTAAAAGAAGGATTCTCTGCAGCTGACAGCAGAATCCCACAGAGCTACTGGTGCCCCTTGGTAGGAAGTGGTTTTGTTTATTTCTTCTCCCTCGACATTCTTCATTCAACACTGACAGTTTATTAAAGTCAGAAGTATATATGATTCTATGATCTTATATACTAAGCCCAAAGTATGTAAGATTAGGGAGTCATACAATCATATTTGGATACAAAAAAATTATCAGTCTTCTACTCCTCAGAGCAAGTCAATTAAATTAAAGAATGCAAATGAGCTCGTCAGACATCTGCAGCACATGAGCAAGGAATTATCAAGACAGAAGAGAAAAAGGTGATCTGGATGTGCTACAGGGACCTATGAAAATGCAGCTTTTTTGGTCTGATTTCCTAAATACTGGCAAAAATAAAGGTAGAAGACTTCAGGAAAAGGTTTGAGTGGTTTCTATAAATATCAAAGTGGGGAAGTCAGTGGAATGGAAAGATAAAGATGAAAAGCAACAGTCTCATTCCTACAAGTTGCTGGAGGACATCTGCTCCTAAGCCAGTCTGGCAGCTTAGAAATACAAGTATTATTGCAGCCAATCAGGGGTGTGGGGCTTTAAACAGCATGCAAAGTTTTAAAAGGATGATTGCAAAGATGGAAGAAAAGCGCATTTAAAAAAAAGTAACTAAGATGCTGGCAGTATGTGAGCAGGTAACTTTGTCTCTCTGCTGAAGTAACCTGTGATTTGGAAAACTTGAAACAGTGGGAAGGAAAGACATTAAAAGTACATATAAACAGATCTATTTTACTGCACCGTGGCTAAAAATACTGCCATTACATCCTTGGAAAATTCAGAATACCTACGACAAAACTGTAAATAAATGCCTTACAAAATTCAATTTCATAGTAAGGAATGGGAAGGCTCACTTCCAACAAACACACACCACTCTTAAATTCCATGAAGGAATACTTCTTCAAAGCCAACTGAAAGTTTGCAAGCCACTTACAGACTGTAACAATGCTTATGAATAATGAATATGGAGCTCTTGAATTCTGCTATGTTCTATACAACAGCTGGAATTGCATATGTAAAGTATTGCTCTTTTACTTGATGGCAAGTGCAGTCCTTACACACAAAATGACCTGATTACCTCTGTAGCTCTATGAAGACCATTAGCATCACCTACTCTACATTTTGTCCTTCCACTATTTGACTCCAACTTTACGTAGAACATCTCTGTAATGTCTCCCACTGTGACAAAACAGCTGCAGCAAAAGGATTATTTCTAAAATACTGTGTCAACATAAGTTCTGCACTTGGATTTCTTGCAAACAGTAAAGGGCTGTTCTGAGTCTCGCTTTTCCAATAAATCCTTATGGGCAAGTATGAAAAATTTATGAAGGTTCTTCATGGACTTTATGAAATATGAAAAAAGAATTAGAAGTGATCTATCAAATTTTATCTTCGCAGCTATCTTCATAAAGCACACAGGAGACTGCTGTGAAAAATCATCTGAGCCAAGAAGAAAAGGATGTTTTTACACAGTGCCATAATGGGAATCATATGTGACTAAACAAAAGCATCCTTCAATACAAAACTGACGAAGACCTCTTCACACAGTGGATTTCAGCCTCCAGTTTACCAACACACACACTTAACGCTTTCAAAAACAAGTACCAGTAGGTGAGATTTTCACCAATCTCAGGCAGACCCACAGCTTTAAGAGTGGAAGTACTATCCTTACTTGTAAGCATTACATTGTGAAAAGGGCTGCAACAGAAACTGAAGTGAAAGACTTCCCTGCTATTTGTTTATCCCATACATTTGGTTGCAATCCATAGAGTTCTGGCGCTGCTCGTTTTTTATTCTTAGCTAATTAACAGCTGCTAGATTTTGCTCACAGTTTATTTTTGAAAGCTAAAGAGGATCCCCTTCACTTGCTATGAAATTAAAGCCTTTCACTTGATTATCCTGCTGAATGCAGAAACACAACAGTGATAGCCCTGACCGATCCTATGTTACCAATGCTGACTGCTGCCTCTCTCCAGCAGCTGACCAACTCTGTCTCAAACATAAAAAACTGACAAATAATTGAGATACTGAAAAAAAAATTGCATATCACCATCAAGATCTAAAGTGATTTTGAGCAATCAAACCATTGCAACAATAGAGTGCTTTTCAAAACAGGGAAATTCTTAGCTTGTACTAAGTGAAAACGCAGTAAATGCAGTCTCAAGTGGCTATGGCAGGTCTAATTCTCCAAAACCAACTTCTTGCCATCTTTCCTCCCTTCACCTTCCCTCTCCTTCCTGATGTCACTGAGCAGACAAACTTCCCCACAGTTCACAAAAGAATAACAAGCAGGAGAAACACCAACTGCAGACCTCTCCAACAGGCTGCCATGGCTGCTGATGCACCCCAGTGCCCCGGCAGGCTGTGGGACCGAGCTGCAGGATGGATTGGCTGCTCCCACCCCTGAGAAACTCGGCAGCCCATGGGCATTGCATTGCTGGGAGTCCTGATCAAAGAGGTTTAGTGGGGACTCAAAGATGCAGTTGTGCATTGCACAGATTATTTAGAGGCTGTTAAAAATCTGCAGCCTGCGTGTCACCTGGTGAAATATGTAAATATGTAGAAATAGAGCTTCTTAACATTTTACACATTAAGAAGCATTATTTTGTGCACGTGAATTTTAAGCTCCTTATCTGGCACTATATTTCACGTCTCCTCCTATCAGACATGGAGCAGCTGCTCCCAGCTACAGCAATCCCACATAGACCTCCTCACCCTCTGGGTTTGTGGAATGGTCTATGCAATGCTCCCACCTGGGACCACTGGGTGCCTGACCCACACTGCATGTGTGGCATTGCCACTGTGGCTTTTCCTCAGTGTCAAGCAGATTATCAGGGATGAGAGCTTTTGCTCATGAAAGTGGCCAGGGATCATACAGCACACGTAACAGCCATGTGCATAAATGGAAAGCGAAGGTCTGGCGCTTCCCAGGCACTGGCTGCAGTTGGTTTTTAATGTGCAGAGTCTGGGCTTGCTGGACTTCTCACCTATATAAATCTCTGTCCCTATGCCCTTGGCTAGCTACTGCTCCTAAAATTATCATGTCTGTACCACAGCATCCTGAGTGATAGCAGAAACGTTACTTTACAGCTTGGTGTGCAAAACACATCACCGGTTTTACAGCATCAGCCCTGCCTCTCCATCACAAACAGACATACCATTAATTCTGGTTTGATTCCTGTTTCAATTTTGGTGTAACAACATCTGAGACATTTTTGAGGCAAAAGACCCTAAGCAGGACGTTACCATCCACATTGATTGGGAGAGTCCCAGTGTCTGTGGTTAATTAGGTTACTAGGTCACTGATGCAGTTTTCATTAATGGCTCATGTTTAATTTGAACTGCTTGTCCCTATTGGTATGGATTAATGCTTAAGCATCTCAAGAGAAGAAAACCATTAGAAAGAGGCAATATCTTTTATTAGGCCAGCCAACATGCTTAAAAAATGCAGGAGTTGATAGGTGTGCTAACCACTTCTCATAACTCATTATTATCCATTGTTTTCAGCAGACATCCTTCATTTTCATTTAGTTATTTATTTTAAGCCAGGGCTACTGAACTCTGGTTCACAGGACTTTTAGCACACCCTCCCAACTCCTGGCTAAAAGCTTCAGGTATTTTAGGGAAGCCCGGCACACTGTTATTTATATCTTTTATAAGAGTGCAATGACATCAGCATAAAATGAAACAATTTTGCTATTCCCAATACACTTATACTTCTGTCATCTCTTCACCATCTTTGATCTTTCATACTAATGGCTTAACGATTAAATGGAAGAGCACGATCACAAGGGATATCTTGGTCCCATTGCTTTGCATGGCAGAAATAAACACCTCTTCTAACATTTTCAAGACAGACAACTGCCAGATTTTCAAACACAACATTTTAAGCCATTTTCAGAAGTGCCCCTTAAACCATCCCTTTTCAACATTCTGACCAGAAACAGCCTTCCTGCTGGTTTTGGAAGCTTCTCTTGCAAGGAGAAGGCTGTAGCATGGACAATGGGCATTTCACAGATTAAAGACAGACTAAAGAGTCACTTAATGATACCAGCATTAAACTTATTCTAGGTATGTCTTTGGTCAATTCCAGAGAATATAGTAAAATCTCTCCGATTAGGCTGTAAGGAACACCAAATGTGCTGATTCTAAAGATGCCCAAATGTTGCATTGTATCATGGCTTACACCTGCTACTCAAAACAAATGATTCCCCTTGATTAACCCTCCTACTACTTATTTAGCTGCTATAAATACCTCTTTGAGGTGAAACAAGCACTCATCTGCATCTGAACATCACAAAACCTCACTATCACCAACGTCACATTTTTAAAAAGCAGTTTTGCATGTGATTGATTGAGTGGCCTTAGCACCCCAGGACAGCATCCCATTATCGCCATGGCACCTTAACAGACATCCCAAATCCAAAAGTAACTTAATATGCAAGGTAAAATATGTTTTGTATTTAAGAAACACTTGCAAAAAACACATATCTGGAAACTGCAAAAACTCAGTTAAATAGTTTTAGAAAACTAAAACCTTGTAAAAATCCAAGTGATTGAAATGTCTCCTTCCAATTGCAATGACTTGCCTTAGCTATTTTAGACACTACAGGAAACTTCAGTTCTCAGGACTGCATTTAAATAAAGCATGCAAGAGGACAGCAGCATGAGAGGCTGTGTAACATGTCCTAGGACACAGTGTTTAAATAACTGCTAAGCTTGATGCCAAGTAGCCATGCTTCAAGTGGCTACTATGTGCTAGATAAATAATGCTTTTCTGTTGCAGGAACAAACACCTCAGCCTCTTGAAGAGCACTTGGCAAGACCACTGATCTAACAATAGGGAATTTATTTTAAACTGCTTGCTACTCATTAGCAGAGGCAGTCATGTGCTGCTGTAGCCGGCCCCTACCCAGGGCTGTGCTGCGCTGATACCAGGGTCCAGGGCAGCTCCAGGAGGTGCAGCCTTGGTCCCATTTGGCTTCACAGCTCTGTGAGCATCTGGAATTGCAAATGTTTTTAACCATCCTGGGCAAAACATCAAAATCCCCACACTAGAGCCATCATCAGCGATCCAATTTAGTCCATAGTTTAGACCACAGATGCAGCCTGCTTATGTATACAGAGATACCAGCAAGTTATAGGAATTGACCAATGCACGTGGATGAAAAGGATTTGCAGACTGGAAGAGGCTGGCTGGGTACACGCAATTCTTCACTCTCAGCAAACAAGACTGCTGGGGAGCCCCGTTACCTTGGACAGCTGCTGCTCAGAGGGAAAGCCCAACCCAAACACGGTGTTGGCTCTGCTATCCGCCCACTGGCCGAATTTCTGCGAGGTTTTGGTGAAGGTCATGTTGGGGGTGATTGTGCTGTTTATGATCACCTGTTTAGAAACAGATCAAAAAAGAATTATAAGCAGCCACATCAGAAATTTATATCCTAGCAACCATGTAAGTCAAAGCAATTAGCAGTTTGAACAGAGAAGCTGCAGTACTCCCAGTTTTTCCCAAAACACATATTTCACGTTGTCTTACTTGATGCAGGAATTGTGATGTTTTGTCATCTTTTATTTCCAAAGTACCATCATAGTCCCGCAGTTTAACACCACAGAACTCAAAGCAGGGATGGGGGGGGTGGGCTATAAAATGTCCCTAGTAGAAATGTGGAGTTGATCTCACTTTTTCAGCATGGAAGCACATGAATTATAGTTTAACAGTAAGCTTAACCAGGGAGGGTGGTAAATGACATCACCAACAATGCACATCCAGCTTCAAACATAAGTGTCTTCAGGACAAATATTCCACCACTTTCACACTGACTGATACCTGATTCAGCAGCCTAGAAAGCAGCAGTGGTTCCTGTGCTCAAAGAAATGGCTAACAAGAGGAAGGCTGCAGGCATGCAGTCTCTCAGGAACTTGGTAGGAAAAGCAAAAAGTGTAACCATACCAAAAGGAATGAGATATACATGCCAGTTCATTATCAAAAATCTCAACTTTTCAAGATACATCATTATATGAGCCTAGAGACTCCTTCCCTTGAAAATGAATTCATGAGCAACTGTCTTCCTGCTAGCAGAACAGGAGCTTTCTTTAGTAACGCGTACCATCATTTCCAATATGCAAATTATGCAGTAATTAAGCCAAATCCGTGGGACAGCTTAATTAACATGATCAGGAAGTATCCTGGCAACATCATTTGCTAGGTATTCCAAGCAGATTTTTCCTAAGCTATCATTTACATTTAGCAAAAAGCGTAAATTAAATTCACCAGAGAAAGAACATTCCTTGCCTCCATCCCCTCCCTAACTTCTACCCTCTGTGCGGATGCTTCTATTTTCCTTCTTAGAAACTGCACATCTTTGGTGGCTCCCCATACTGTGCCATCACTTCCCAACAAGTGTACAATTCCCTGCTGTGCGCACAGGACCAACGTCAGCACACAAACAGTCGATCCAGACCAAGCTCAAAAACAATATGAAATCATTGCTGCTGGAAGCTTCTCACCAAAAGGATGAAAGCAGGGCAGGGCCAGGTGGCTGACGCTAGTAAATTCTGTTTTACTTTTTTAATAGGAAGAACCAGGATGAGATGGGGGAAGAGGTGATTCTTCTTCAGCAGCGTTGGCTGACATAAGCTACGCAGAAATGAACTTTTGAAGATGAGACATGTTTTGTATGGCTGTCTCACAGAGGCATAAGGAAAGCTGCCCAGATGTGCTGTGCTCCAGCTGAGTCATGCAGCAGAAAGGTGGCCGATATAAAAACCTAAGTTCAATTCCAGTAATTTAAATTAAAAGAAAACCAAAACTCCAAAGATTTTATGCATGGGTTTGACAATTCAAAGGGAGGGTGACAATAGGAGGACTGGATAGAATGAGTCATAAGAAAGGGGATGAAATCTACGGCCAAATGAGAAATCAGGATGTTTTCCATAAACATTAAAGGAAGTGCTTAACGTATATCCTACGTCAGACAGGTGAACTACTTACACATATTTGTCTTACTGAGTTATTTTAGAAGCTCTGAAACAACCATAAATTTCAAGGGATAAAAAGTATTATTTCAGCCCTACTGTGCCTATCAAATCAGACATCTTTGGCTGAAAAGCTAATAAAGTGACCCCTCTCATTGAAAGGCGAGAACCTCCTTCACAGGAAGCTGACAATGAGAGTAATAAAAACTCCTAAAATAAACATCTAGAAAATGCAAACACAAAAAACACGCTGAAGGGAACTTTTAGACAACAGTCCAACATCAAAGAAGTGATAAGAGGAATAATGAAGACTGCAAACTAGAACACAAAGCAACTTATTGAGCAATGAGATGAAGTATATTAGCTTAGCACCTTAGAGGTTAATTTTTTCTGTAGCCAGTGCAGAATCCAAGGGAAGGTTGTGGTGATCACACACCTTCAAGAAACTGTCAGTTCATCTGCTAAATTTATAAAAAGCTGCAATTAGTGAAACTGCTTGCAAGCCAGCTCTAGCTTTTTTTTTTTTTTTTTTAAAGCCCTCCTCTGTCAGTCAGATGCCCCAGACACCAGAGACAAGTGAAAACCTGAGAAAAAGCTGAGAGAGCAACTCAGAGCTGCATGGAAACAGTCAGGAGAAGGAGAACACAACACAGCGCTGTGAGGTACCCGTGATCAACACTGATTTTATGAAGAATCCAAAACACGGCCTCTACAAAGAAAATCAACTCAATCCCAGCCAAACCCACAGCGCTGTGGGAAGGCTTCCCATAGGACCGCAGTCCTGTAAGAAGAGTCCACTCAGCATTCAAACAGACTCTTATGAAGCAGCTCTGCATAGGCCCTCATTCCTATAACACATATGATGGAATTCTGACAGCATCAAAACCCCAAATAAACACAGGGACTGTCATCCAGGTTAATGGATAGACAAACATAGACAAACATAGACTTCATAGACAAACAGCTCTAATGAGCTGCCATCAGTCCCTGAAGTGGTTAACGGGTTCTCCCCGCAGACAAAGGCAAAGAGGAGCATAATGTAATAAGCACCTTACAGAATAATAAACTCATTCATCATGCTGGTGGAGTTGTCTACACGTGGTTAAAAAAAATTTGCCTTTTCTCTCATCTAGACGCCAGCACATCAGATGGCAAACATTCCTGCTACGTCCACACAAGCCAAACAAAATCTCAGGCTAATTTCACTTCCCTTGGGAGAAAAACAATCCTGACAGATCTAAATTTTTATTTAAAGATGACAATGAATAATTTTTACAGTACAAGGTAGTACTCTGTCAACCAGAAATGATTCGAGACGTTTAGGAACACACACACTGGGCACATTCATCAGATAAAAGTAAGTAAATAAGCTTGTGCAGGGCAGAGCTCTCGTAGGCTGAAACATACCCACCCCACTGCCTTCCCACAGAGAGAAGTTGCCAAATAAAACAAGCAGAGAGGTCACAAGATAACCTGGGTAGAAAAAAAAACTGCATTGGCAGCTCAAATTGCTCATGATATATGCGTGGTGTATGTACACACAGCTACCTTCTATCATGGGGGATGCTTAGTGCATTTAAAGGGTCCTTCCCAAACTCCCCATTATCACCAAATCACACTGATGTGTTTCCTGAAAGGCATTTTCTCAAGTCAAGGTGAGGCAAACACGTGCACAGGAGCCCATGCAGAACAGTGCTGGAGCAGCCAGGGGCTACCAGCAGCTTGGGACATCCTTGGCATCGTGCTACGTTTCCAGAAGCAGCAGCATAGATGGGAGCAGGCTCGTCCCCAGAAGGAGAGAGCCAATGGCTGTGAGCATCTGGCAGAGAGAAACCAACGTGCTGCCCTGAGCAGCACCAGGACATTTCCTTGGCTGGGACACACACCCACAGAGCCAGCTCTGGCAAACACCTCTCTACCTGGGAACAGATCAAAGTAAGAGCTGTGGGATTGCTAGACTAGCCAATTCGAAGTTCTAGAACTGCATTAAATCAAATCAGAAATGGAACAGAAATAATCTCACCCTTTATTCTGGGACCAAAGTCCCAGTTCAGCAGATTGGGAAATTCCAGAATCATTCCTCTTTAAATTCACATCACCTGCTGTTCTGAAGCAACTTCACCTCCAGAAAAGCCCTAAGGCTCAAGGGCATAGTATCTTCTCATTAAGAAGTCACTACATTAAAACCTCCCCATTTCATTTTCACACCTCTCAATATGTGCTTTCCAGTTTGCAGCCCTTGTGAAATTTAATTTCCTCAACCCACCAGGCTGCTAATCTTCAGTGAAGACATATCTCAATCTAAAAACAGAATTGATGAGGGCAGGGAGCTGCCAGTCCTCAGGCTGCAGCTATCACAGGCTCAGCAGGTTCTTCCAGCTCATCAAGCCAATGTGAATCAGAAGCACTCGTGAACCCGGACGTGAAGACCAAGGGAGAGGGATGGGTTTGCAGAGAAATTCTCCCTCACATGTTCAGCAACTCCCTCGTGGAATTTATCCACCTACACTGCCATGATTTGCACTTATCTTCACTAGCTACCATTCTTTGCTGGTGGCTAGACAGAAATGCAATGTCTTTTCACCAATAAATCACTGGTCTAAGGAAGCAGAAACTGTATATTACATGAAATGACATCATGAGGAAGGTGCTAACCTCGGTGTGGGGCTTAGAGTTCTTCACCTCCTTCTGAAGAAAACAGAAAAGCTACTGTAACCCAGAGACTAAAGCACCATATTCACGCTGAACTGCAGAAACGAACCACTCACCTGTGACCCCAAAACATCAGATCATCTCTGCTCCAGCTTACAAAGACAGCACACACCCTCACGCCCATGCCATTAGCCATGACAGGGCTAGCAAAAGGTACAAAGGGAGTCACCTCCTGAGCCCACCTTCCAAATGGGATGAAGACACACTCGCAACAAGAAACTGGGATGACAAGAAGAACAGGCCTTGATCAAAAAAATAAACTTGTAATGAAGGAGAACTAATTACAGCTGTCTAACAAACCAGGGCCAGTAGAAATCGTTCTCCTCACCATTTCTACTAAGACTTTGTAGAAGGGTCTTTCAGAAAGAAAGAAAAAAAAGGAAAACTATAAGCAGCAACTACACATGTTTGAACTTTGCCTTATCTGCTGTACCTCCTACACAGAGATGTGTGGGACATACACCTGGGACAGACCTGGGACTTCACCTGAACAGACTAGGAGCACCAGAAACATACTGAAAAGAACACTGAATGTCTCGTTCTGCTTTTCTTCCTGCTCTGCTCCATCACTTGTGTGCAAGAGAGAGGGGGCGCAGCAATGGACAGGGGACAGCTGCCAGGTCAGCCAGGCAAGCAGGACTTTAGCTATGCCACCCAGACATAGATTTCAGAAGCATCCACAACACACAGTGCTAAGA